CCTTTCACAGTTCCAGATAATTCTAGAAGAAATTAAAGTACTGCTTGAACTTTATATTGAAAGACTTGAGGCTGATTTGTCGGATGAAGCGAAAAAGAATTGGCAGAGGCCCAAAATTCAATAGTAAAGATAAAAGAAGCAGCTACAAAGGCAGCTGACGCTTTAACTTTGCCAAACACTTTCTGTTCAGGGGTGTTGAGCTCTTCTTCTGCCGTAGTATCTAAGATCAAGAAATTAGCCAGTACTTTTCAAGAATACGTTTTTGAATTGGTGGGTAAAAATTCAGGAGACGGAAACGAAAAAACGAGATGCATGTGCTGGAGCAATATCTCTCGGACAGATCACCATGAGTCAACTTTCTAAAACGACATGGAAGAATTTCTCATCAAAATTGGCGCCAATGTCGATCTCAGCAAAGTCACGACAACGGAAGAATTAGCGAAGCAACTAGACACAACAAGTATCGACTACATAAGAACGGAGTTCAAAGAAACCTTCGAAAAAGCCCTCAACACAGTCCTCATCTTCAGCGTGTGGACCTCCAAGATTCTATATCTGACGATCCTGCTTCTCATATACGATGCTCACAGTTACCTAGCACAACACTATGCTGACGACACGTTTGACAACATGATGGTGGATGATAATCTGAAACGATTGCGGAGGAAGAAGCTAACTCCATTGCGTCAGTGGGAGGTTCAGGAACAGTATTATCGTGCTACTGATGTATCGCTTACTACTGATGAGCTGATCAATATAGTCATCATCTCCCTCTCTAGTGTTCTCTCCACTGTGTTCATCACTCTGGTTGTTGTAGCAGACTTCCTCCTAGCTTCTGCTTTAACAGCTTTTAAGGAGAATTCCAAACTTGCAATATCATTCCCTGGACTGGAACAAGGATCTTCTCTATCCGACCAGCTTGGTAGCTCAGATAAAGAATTTGAAGTGGAAGCCTACGATTTCAGTCTGGATCCGTGTCTCCCGGACGGAAGGAAGAGTTCCCCTCGTGTTCTGTGGCCACTTTATGTTCTTCTGTTCTTCTGTTTGTTGTCATGTGTTCTGGAGGCTTACTTTTCACGGATGAGGGCTGCTATTTGTAATGCCTTCTACGAGAAACGAGCAAAGCAAAGAGCTATTTTTCTTTATGAGTAAGTACATCAATATCACAATTTATATGAATATCTAATACTGAAACGAGAGGTTGACCTGTTGTCCCATGCCGGTTGTCCCCATCGGTTTATCAAAGCTTTTACTCGGTAAAAAAAGATTTTCATCAAAAATTGATATAATTCATGTTGGAAATTGGTTTGTCCGAGTCTAAATTATACTACTAAATGTATTACAGTAATTTTAATAATATATTAGTAATATTATTACAGTAAGCTGGCACTGAGGAGAAAAGAGCGGTACCTGGACCTCCACAACATACTCCGTACAAAAAGGAGATCCAGAGAACGTGAGCACGAGTTCTCCTGTTGTAGGAGATTGTGTTGTAGTAAGGAGATGAGGGTGTTTGAGACGTGTCTGGCGTGTGATTCCCTTCTGTTGGGCAAGGAAAGTGGCGTTGAGGTCACGTTCATGTATGAGGAGAATTATGTGACTGAGACGATATGTAAAGAATGTAATTTGGATGATTGAGCAATATTAGATTGTTAACCGTGCTTTGCCACATTACTGAATTGTCTTAATAAATGTTAGAATTAGTAGAGATTGAATCTGAGAAGCTGATTGAATATGTACAAACGTTAACATAACACTGTGAGTGAGCTAACGATCCCGGTTTCTATACGAGATTTAATTTTCAACAGAATAAACCTAATTTGTGGACTGCAAGAATGAATCGTTTTTCTACTTTAAAAGTAAAGTTGGACTGAGAAACTGCTTTTTTAAATGTTGTATAATGTATTTCATGCTACCTTATCGGACCTTACTTGGACGGACATTACATGAACGGACATAATTGTGAACGGACATTAATATGAACGCTCGAAGGCATTTAAAACCATCAAAAATCCGAATTTTGTTAAATTTTTGACGTTTTTTTAATTTCAGCAAATGATTTTTTAATCCATTTTTTATACAGTAAGTAAGAATAGCAGTCATTAAGCAGTAAAAATGTTAAAATATGTGTACATGATCAGTGTCTAATATCATTTTCATTAAATAGGTTTTCGTGCATGAAATAGTCCATGCTTAAACAAGCATCAGTGATTTTAGCTTTGTGGAAACCTTTTTTATCAAACTACCCTGGTCCTGCATTTCAGTGTTAACTTTTACAAGCCATTCGGCGTGAAGTGGTTTTATCTTAGACAACTTAAGGTTAACCTTAACATCACGTGGAGCTTTCCTAGCACTGTTTCATTACCTCCCCTCAGTAATATGAACTATAAAAACGTCGGACAATGTCCTTGGCAACACGATTTACCGTAATATCTAGAGGCTGGAACAAGTTTGTCATGTTGGCGGGGACTAGCTCATGAACTATGTTGTTGAGTGTCATGATTTCGTTGACTTTTTCCGCCAAGTGACCCTTGAAAACATCATATACTAGTAGAGTTTTCTGTGCCTCCGGCAGACCAAGGAGAACCTTTCCGTCGTTAACTTACGGCACAATAAAGTTCTCATAGTTGTCATATTCTGGGTAAAAAGTTCGAAATGGAAAAATTTTTGAAAAAATTTCAACGGACTTTAACTTGGACGGACATTAATTGAACGGACTTTATTTGAACGGACATTAAGATGAACGCTAGGGCCTCCAGCGTTCAAGTAATGTCCGTCCAAATAAGGTCCGATAAGGTATTTCATATATTTTAGTTGTTAAAATATTTTGTTCAGTTATTAAAATATTAGCAACACCACGTTTGAAAACAAATGTTGAAAATAGCAGTGAAACATTGGTTTAAGAAAAACGGAACTGCCCCTAATTGTTAAATAACGGCGAATGAAACGAATAGCTAGTGGTAAAAGAAATTATCAATTATTAATGAGCAGGTATTCATATGTGAAATATAATTACAATGAAACAGTTCAATATTAACGGTACAACAATAATATATGATAAGATAAATACTATCAAATTCAACGGCGCAGAAAACTCAAAAACTTAATCAAGTACGTTCGCAACCCGATTTATTCGGGACCCATTCTGTAAACATAAATCATGCAATTTACTCACATTCTGAAAAATTGCTCAAATAACTTTGCTTCTGGCATCTGTAAAGCTGCAGCAAAACAATAAACTAATAAATAATATGATACATGGTAAAATAATTCAATTAATTAATTAATTAATTACTTTAATTCAAAAGATATTATTAATTGATAAGTTCCTTTAAAAAGATGAATATAAAAGATGCGACTCACAAGGCAATTTATGTCGTAATCCAGTTACAGTGTATAACGTAAATACAGCAAAGAAACCTGCGTATCTTTTATTCCTCTGGACATTATATTATTTTAGCATATATATAACCAAAATTCAAATAATGAAATTTTCAACAAAGTGATGTAATAATGAATATGCAAATGCAAAAGTTATCAGAGCATTCCTAAGAGCTCTATTTTAAACATTCATTTCCTCCTCCGCGTCAACATTTATTCCGATACCATCAAAATTGATTACAACCTCTCCTTTGCCTACATGCTCCTGTTTTGCTGATTCTTCCTTATCTTCATCCTTCTCTTCCCCTCTTTATCTGTACCCTCCTCCCTACTACCCTCCTCCATCTTTTCTCCATCCTCTTTCGCTCCTTCTCTACCATCCTGCACCTTTCCTTCACTCTCATCTTCATCATCATCCTCAGGTGGAGGTTGCTCTGGCGATGGGGGAGGGATGAACTCCTCCACTGTAGTGTGTACTTCATCTGAGGAGTTGGGGGAGGGATGTACTCCTCCACTGTAATGTGTACTTCATCTGGGGAGTTGGGGGAGGGATGCACTCCTCCACTGTAATGTGTACTTCATCTGGGGAGTTGGGGGAAGGGGAATGCACTCCTCCACTGTAATTTGTACTACATCTGGGGAGTTGGGGGAGAGGGGGATGTTGTGAAGTTGTGTTCTTTAGAGCAAAGAACTGTTTCCTCCAACACGCGCACAAGGACGTGTTCTTCTCGCTCTTTTTCTGATGGGGCTTTGGGTGGGGGTTCTTGGCTCGTGCTGAAAGGACGAGAAGAATAGACTCAAAATAATTTGAAACTGGAAATGTTTAACAAATAAAAGAACTTAAAAGGATGTTGTTGATGCTATTCTTTACAAAAATTACCTAGCTGGCGTTGTTTTTTGCGTCGGGTCAACGGCGCCTGTAATTTTTTCTCTTCCGTCGAATGCTATGTCTTGGCCCAAAAACAAATCTAGTTTTTTAGGGTTTCGAATAGTCATTCAGGACCAGCTAGAGAACGGGTTGAAAAATTCACATGACAGTCGAGTGTAGAGTGATTAATCATCATCCATAGTTTAGTTTAATGATAGCTATTGAAATTGACTGAAATCAAAAGTTTTCATATTCTGAACAAAAAGTTCGAAATGGACTTTAACTTGGACGGACATTAAATGAACGGACTTTATTTGAACAGACATTAAGATGAACGCTAGGGCCTCCAGCGTTCGAGTAATGTCCGTCCAAATAAGGTCCGATAAGGTAGTTTATAGTAACGGGTTTGCTTGCCACAATAAAGAATGAACCCTCTGCTTGCAATGCTCATGAATAAAGCATAATTGTTTTGTCATTGGTCTTGGTAGCTGCTTTGACTCTTTTTGTCATGTTACTGTTATACAAAATGTCACACGAACGGGGTCTATAACATTTGCTAACAAATAAAAAGCTACCGTGAATTCACTGGTCACTGAGAGTACTGACTGGATGCCCCCAAGCAAGAATTTAGACAAAAATATGCATTTCAGGAACATTTTAAAAAGAAATTTCCGGTTGAATATCCGGTCAAATTCTTGGGAACCGGATTCTGCCGGAAAGCCGGTCGGTTCCTAATGTAGTCAGTTACAAAATGCAACAATTTGTTCAAAAGAGTGGTACATACCAGGCTTATGACCCAGAGATATTGATTGACGGCCAGATAATCAGCTATGTAGGAAACAACCCGATTAAGTTCCTGGGCCACTGGATCTATGTCGATCTAGGGTTAAATGACACTAAACAACGGATTGAAGACAAACTAAAAACTCTGTTTCAGACAGTGGATGAGTGTGGTCTCAACGGTGTCATGAAGTGTTGGATCTACAATAACATGCTGACTAGCAAGATGTCCTGGGATCTGATGATTTACAACCTTCCTGTAAGTTTTGTGTACGAACTGGATGCTATCTGCACCAGATTCTTGAAGAAGTGGTTGGGTGTTACTAGATCAATTACTGTGACAGTCCTGTACAGGAGCAAGGATTACTTCGGGCTAAACTTGAAGAAGCTGAGTGACTTATACAAGTCTCTTCAGGTATCAAAGGGACACGCCCTGAAGAACAGTGATGACACCAAAGTTGTAGAAGCCTATAATAACAAGAGAGAGAAACAGGAGAACAGCCCGAGATGGTCTTATACAACGGAGCTGACGGCAAGAGAGCGAGATCTTTACTTCCAGGAGTTGGTTGGAGTAGTGACTAAAGACCGAGTAGGACTCGGATGCAAACCAAAGTTGACTGAGAGGCAGAAGCTAAGACAACTGGTAGAATCGGTGTCAGAGAACGACATGCTAGTCACCCTGGTAAACAAGGGAGTACAGGGCAAGTTCTTGACATGGGAGAACACGATGCAGTTAGACTTAGGATGGAACAGCCTTATCTACAACTACAAGATGAGCCCGGCTCTCCTTAAATTCCACCTAAACTCGACACACGACGTGGCTAATACCCCTGCAAACATGAAATTGTGGAACTACTCGAGTACAGGAAACTGTGCACTTTGTGGATGGAAGACGTGCAACATCAAGCACATCCTAGCCGTCTGCAGTGTAGCAAGAAACTCCAAAAGGTACAACTGGAGACATGACAACGTCCTACGTGTTATAGCCGGAGCCTTGCTTGACCAACTCAAGATGTACAATTCCTCAGGTTCCACGACCTCCGACAAAGAATGGATACGGTTCAAGTCGAAGGATGGGAAGTATGAACACCCAAAGCCAAAGTTGAGGAAGGAGAGGCCCTTTGAGAGAGCGAAAGACTGGAAGCTGATATGGGACGAGGATACACTACCTGCCCAGTTCCCACAGCACATCTACAACACAGCGGAGAGACCCGACATTGTAGTATGGTCGGATAGTTTGAGAGAAGTAGTTCTGATTGAACTGACTTGTGGTGACGAGAGTAACTTCAGTGACCAAGTAGCACGTAAAGAAGCACGCTACAACAGAGAGCTGATTCCTGGCATCGACGGGTGCGGTTGGAAAGCTCTGCTCTTTACGGTAGAGATTGGGTGTTAGGGGCTTCTGGCACCATACTGTACCAGCTCTATTTAACTACTTTGGATTGGTGAAGAGAACGAAGAATAAAGCCCTGAATGAGGCTGCTTTGGTCGCTCTTCGATGTTCCTATACAATCTGGTTAGCCCGCGACAACAAGAAATGGTCTACCTGCTACGACATCGCAAGGAGGCCAGAAGTCATAAACTGTGAAAGCTGAGTGTTGGGCCCATAAAACATGTTGAAAGCTGCAACCAGGATCACAAGTACTGGTGGAATACAGAATGACTTGCTAATCAGATTGATAGATGGAGTTGCTATCGAAAGATATAGAACTCAGGTAAACATCTAACCTGTAATAGTTTATTGTTGATTTTTCTCTAGTTATCAGATAATTCCAAATGTTTATAGTTATGCAGCTGGGCCAAATGTAAGTTTTTAAAAACTTTTATTTTTGATGCTATACCACTTGCACTATTTTAGTTTTATATTAATCTATAGTACACAGTACGTATAATCTCGGCCTTAATACCTAAAGTTCTTGGTAAATGTTTTTACAAAGATTAATATTCTAGTACGTTAACACAGTCCTATAAGTATAACATTAGTAAAAAGTGAATTATCTATATATATTGCAACCATCATGCCCAATCTTTAGCACATCTCTCTGCAATTGATTATGTAATATGTATAGCTTTACAAAAACTAGCCGAATATTCAAAGCCTCTGCTCAGCTTCAGCGCTATGTAATAATTTCACCGCATATGATTTGCAGGTTACAATACGCTGACGACGGCAGGTCTACAGTCGACTGGCACGTGGATAACGGCACCACGTGACTGCATGCGCGCCACGTGACGCCGCACGCGCGGTCACGTGACCTACAATTATCACGCTCAAGTACGGGGCATGTGCCACACGTGGCCCATTATAACACCACCTACAGTTCTCTCCCCTCCCTGCCAAGGTACGAGCTTTAGTTCTAATTTTGTCTTGCCTTGACTTAACCGTCTCTATAGGAACCATTATCGGCCATCAAACGATGGGTAATTTTTCCACGTGTAGGGCTCTTGTAGCCGATAGTAATTTCTCCAGCTCTCTTATCTTAGCTTTATTTTCAGTAGGACGCGTCGTTCCCTCACCTGTGCATCATGATGTATCTGTCCTCTGTTGAAAGCCAGTCCGCCACCGAATTACGCCATACCGCCGCCACTATCAGCTACGCCGGCCAACTCCTACTGGGCCCGCCCCACGGCTCGTACGAGACGAAGAACCAAGTACACGGACACAGCTTCGCTACAGTCGCCGACCTTCAGAGCGTTTACGATCTTCAAATGGAGCAGAGGTGGTTAGTGTACCCGGACCTTTACATATAAATATTATTCTGAAAAGTGGGACCCTGTCAAAACTTGATGATTCCATTTCTCTATCTGTCCCAAACACTTTTCAGGATATGATTTGTTAACGAAATCTAAACGTAGATCTGAGCATTCTTTGAACAGATTAGCTGAAATTTTTATATACTAGACATGGGACATGGGTTTGATTTCTGAGTTTGAAGGTTCCAACAACCTGATTTAGAAGAATGTTTCAATACTGATCCTGTCGATCATTTATTTGTCCAACTTCCATTTGAATTCTACCTTCCGTAGACACGCAATTACATTTGTGTGCTCCTGTGTCAGAAACTATTATTACAATTAATCCCTGAACTCACACACCCTTCCCTCCAGTACGGCTTATCGTAGAGCCACACACAAGTTATCAGAGCAAAAGAGACGGAAAATCCTTAACAGCCGCTTCGACGATCTGAGGACGATAGTTCCTTCCTGTCAGGATGGAGCACACAGCAAAATGAGCGTACTAAAGAAAGGTTAGACCTATTTCTTTTGGTTTTGCTTCTAATTTTTAGTCCGATACAGTTTACGACAAGTTCCGAACGAATTTGTAGTTAATCGGGTTCTTTTGTACTTTTATGATAATGAGTCAAGATTATCGTGACAGTGACTACCCAACCCCAGAAATAGCGAGAAAGTAAAAAATTTGTTCATTTTAGTCGCTCCGCATTTTTATACTATCGTATCATAAGGTCATCTTTTTGGTCTCGCTTGATTTTGCTGAAACTCTTTTCAAGTTGAGCACATAACACATTATATTACCTGGGGACCCCAGGCTATTGTGTTCATAGAGATTCGGCGGAATGACAGGCTGAGCGCCGCCCAGTAAATGCCACATAGATGATTATTGATCAATGACACATTATGTTTTCTCCCTGGCCTAATAACATCCATGGGTATGTTGCTATGTCTTCAGTTATGGTTACGTAAATAGGATAGATCTGATTAGATCTCTGCTATATCATCAGTCGTTTGAATACTCAAGCACAACTAGAGCTGTGCTCTGTATTCAGTAGTATGAGAACTAGGTTGTGCAAGTAAGCCCCCATTATATTAATTGTATATAATACATTAGCTACAAAAAGTATTCGTACAGTTTTTGTTACAGTTTAATTTAAACGTTTCTGTATCTGATATGCTCCTTGACCGGTACGGTACTGGTATAGGGATAGGGAGCTGGGGGGGCATGATCAGGCAGCATCATAAGCAATTAGCATTGCGTAAGGTCAGCACTGTCACCGTCCACTTAACTCTACTTGCCAAGCTGCAGCTCCAATCTTTAATCAAGCGATTTGCTTCGTTTTCATTTCGCCCCCGAGGATTCATTTCGCGGTGGTTTGGGGTGCTGCGAGGGTGAACTGAACCTTGATTTGATTGCTTTTAAGTCGCACATGCAATGTTGCAATTGTATGTCAAAGTCACGTGTTATCATTATCCCTATTAGGGTAACAGCACTGGAACCATTACCAATATGAGCGTCACCAATTACCACGAGCATTGTCTGACGTGACAAATGATATAGATAGATTCCTGGGCCTAAGTGCATCATCTCCATTTAGATTATTTAACAGTAGCAATACTAATAACGTTATCTTATACGGTGACTGAATAAATAAAGTGCCCGTAGATGGGGTTTCTACGACACCTTTGGTTTTTATATAAAGTTACGGCATGGGTTGGTTATACCATGGGTATAAGAACATCGATCGTCGATAGATTGCTGAGATAATAATACCAATGATGAAATAGTTTTTAAGATTTTAGTGATATCTGAGTAGATGGTCAGCAGACATCCATTTCAAACGTGACAATTGAGTGCCAGCTGTTTTGTCAGCCTCATTGAAGGAGCCTCAATGGTCGGGTTCCAGTCTCAAGAGTAGTTGCCCAGATTTAACAATCCCTTATTACTCTTTGTCCCAGCCTCTCTCGGCCGCTTAGCTCCCAGAAAACACTCTTTATTGTACTTCTCGCACGCTCTACTCCCGGCCGCGGAGCTTTGTCCGCTGATTTTAACAATTAGTCCGCCTGTTGGGCGTGTGCCAGTAGCATGCCGGTAATCCCCCACGTGCTTTGGCATGTGCCCATGTGTTGTGGTTATACAGTCACGTGGGCAAAACCTTCCTTTCAGCTCACTGTACCTGGCTTATAGTACAGGATTGACAATAAGAACACAGATGGTGTGTGCTCCTGATAATTGCAGCTATTGTCTTTTGATTACTGTACACTGGAGAGATGCTGCTCCGCGCTCGACAAATGATATATATATGTGTATTATACTAAAGTACAGCAATATACTTAAGTAGCGCCTGCTAAGTGCTAGTGCTACCCAATTGAGCCATGGAGGTGTAAAATGATCTTGAAATAGAGGCTGCCTATTCTAGCAAGTGGCTTCATGAGTTCATGTTGTTAAGAACTCAACTTGTCTACCAATCAGCAGCGGCATTCAATGTACTAATGTATTGTTTGCTATGTAAGTTAGATCCGGTCTCATTTAGTCTCATTTGGTCTCCTTCGGTTTCATTACAAGTTAAAATTCATGAAAACACATCGATTGAAGATTATAGTGAAAAGTATAACGGTAAACCTGAAAACAATAAAAATATTCGAACAATAATATATCAGCCGTTTAAACGTTAATTCATTCGAACTGTACTGAAAGTGAATTCTAAGTCGATGGGCTCAGATCCAAAATCAGCAAATTACCAAAACATTAAAACGCGTAAAAGGAGAGGTTCTCATCTGAAACTATGCTTGGTGTAGCTCGTTGGGATAGTATAGGAATTCTGGTTCCTATAGTTGGGAATGAGGTAGTTGTCTGTTCACAGATCGCCCTCTAAACTTACAAGGAAATGTTTCCTGTAGATCCTTGGTATATAAGCAACATTTGACAGAGCATAGTGTGGAGTGAGCTATGTGCCCATCCTTGGAGAACCCGGTGGATGTCCTTGCTGTACGGCAGTGTTAAACAAGGAATTGAAACCGAGGGGTTCCGTTCAGGCCCTTCACACTTTGTTTCTGTCTATAGTTCTAATGTACCGTCACAATAGTGACTTTAATATAGAAGAAAAAGAAATTCGGAATCTCCTAAAAGCTTTGCCAGAGTCGGCGTTATAAGGGCTATAGAATTCATCCAGAAACTGTCCAGCATTTTGCAAACTTTATCTTTCAAATCGTTGTTCACTTTATTACTATTAGTATCCGAACTTTCTATGAAATTACCCAAATCATCTTAATTTGGTTTTGAAACGCCAATACGATCTAAAATTGTCATTGGATTTTCTATCGGATGCAAATGATACTCATTCAGAGCTACTGCTGAAATTGTATCCCAAAACTTCTAAAAAAACTCGTTTTTATATCAAACATATACCCAAGCGTAATCCTCAGTCTAAGACTTATAATATGATCTGAAGAATAACAGCAATTTCTGAGAGAGTTGGTCAACTATAAAATTTGTTAGCCTCCACAAGAGCTATATGGTGATATCTTTGAGGACTCCGATCCTTTCCATCTACTGAAACGTACAACTAAATGTGCTCTGAATACAGTCTGTCAACAGGATTCCTAAGCATGGCCAGTACGCTTCACTTTCTTTGACCCTGTATAAATATTAAATATGACTTTCCGAAAAAAAAGAGAGATACTTGCCACTTCACAGACAGCTTAAAACTGTTGATTTTGTGGTTTTTATTAATCTTCTACTAATCAGTTCTTAGTCTGACCTAGTTAATTTCAGCAATGAACTACATAGATCAGCTGACGAAAGAGCTGATGGTGCAGGAACACGTGTTGAGGGAGCTGCAACAGGAGCAGGAGAGACGCAGACTCCTTCAGCTGGAGCACTCCCAGTGGTCTAACAAGATCCACAATCTTAGGTTAGTGAGATGGTTGGAGTCAGCAAAACTCTCGGTTGTGGACCATGTGACTTATCTTGCACCAGCTAATGCTATTAGCTTATATCAGATACAGGGCACACCTGTTATTGTATTGACCATTACCTTAATAAAGTCTATTTTCGTTTATCGTTTTTAAAAAAATTACTATTTTGTGTATGCTTTCTGCATATAATTCTGGTACAGTTTTTAATTTGCTGAAACACACTCTTCCCAGGAAGCATTACCGCATACCGGAGCCATGAACCAACGCTGAACAGTAAAGACAGATCTGGATTGTGAAAACACTCTCGATGTGATGTACGATAGCATGTTACTCATCGGATCTATACGTGGTCGATAACACAGCTGTTTCTGTTAACTTCACCAACGTTGAAATGAAATCGGAACTGAGCGAGAAGTGTGCTTGTTGTTTAATACTAATAGGAAATGGTCTTTGTTTGGAATTTAGAATGATTGCAGTTATTCATCAAATGATATTAGTTTCCATGTTTTCCAGCCATAATGATGCCCGATAATCATACATTTGGGTCTTTAAGTCGATTTATTTTGGTTTACTCTAGTGATTACCAGTGTGCTTTGATCAGTTATCTTTGTTACATAGATACTAATGTCTTTGATGTTTCATTTTTCAAAGGGCATCTGTCAGTAGGCATCCACATAACCGATTATCACATGGCTTTTGAAAACTTTGGCGACAAAGAACAAAGAACTTGTTGTGATGTACCGCTCGTAATTATCAGCTAAGTAACATCTGTAGTCGTTTTAGTCTCGGTAGAATGTATCAAAGTCACTTAACTCGCAGATCAATCATGATGGTCAGGTGATTTCTCCTTTTAAATCACTCATTTATTTTCTGTTTGCCATAGTAGTCACATACTTCATGAGGTCTTTGTAGAAAGTTTACTTCAGATTTTAGGCACCAGGTGATTCTCTCGAGAAAAAAACACCCGAACTTTTTACTACAAGTACTCAAGTATAATTGTAGGAAAAACAAATGTGTTTTCTTTTCAGGAGAATTGTCAGAAGAAAAGCGTAATAAGTAATCACCGGCGAGTGAATGCGAAAACATGTCGCCGCTTATATTACTTATTCATTTCAGTTTTGGAATTCTACAAAACTAAAACGTTATCACTTTAAATGTAAAATAAATTATATGCGGTATGACGAAAGTTTATTCAATAGCTTTTATAAACTTTCTTTTCCATTTTCTTTGGTTGTACAGCTGGTTTCTTGGTACAATCTACATGTTCAATACTTTCAAATTTCGAAATTTATGAAATTATTTCCCATTTTCTTTTTAATTTGAATTTCTGATATTTCATTGCATTAACCGATGATAAATAAATTGTACCCCACCTACATTGCAGTAAAGTCATGGTTTTAAAAAAAATTTTTCAGGATGTGCAATTGAATTGCGACGATCTATCGCAGCAAATTGCAATCGTAGGATCAATGATTATACTAGTAGATAATGCTGTCACATGACAAGGAGCTGTCTAATTGGAAACTGCACACTTTACCAGAATTACTGATAACCACGTGACACGCATGCTCTATATACAAGTTCTTAGCTACAGTTAGTAATTGAATTAGCGACCCGGATGTTGCTTTTTATTATCGTCAGTCAGTAAATTGCACCGAAAAAGCACATAACATACCGCATTTTTTGGCTCTTCCTCCTAAATACTGGGTTTCACAGTTGCAGGTTAATGCTCCGTTGCGGTGTGTTAATTCCAATCGGTAGCACTCTTTCGGACGGCTTGTTTTTGATTCACTTTAAATTTAATTGGCTGGGCGAATAATTGCCGCTAATGTTTTAGAGTTGTCATCAATTTTCCAAGTCGCAATTGGACGTGTTTTATATGTTATATCATCATCTCCATTCAATCTCTCTTTTCTAAACGTATCATTTTTCCTTTCTACAACTTTAAACTTAAAGTCTAGAAGGTTATTCTACCGAATTCAATTTCAAATAATATAGCTAAAATTGCAATGCGTTCACTCGGTTCCACTTCCTAATTTGTAGATATGTCCTTAAATCTTGCCAATAATGAGATCCTATGGAATTTCAAACCCAACGATCAACCGATCAAGCCGATTAATTTTACTGAAAGCACTCCAATTTTGGGTAAAATTGCTTTGCATCTCAGATTTTCCTAAAACTCGAACCATAATGCATTAATGCATGAAATAGTTGATTATTAGTTGTACTCTGCAGTTAACAGTATTATCCTGGAACCCTGATATACCAGTAGTTAATCCCCAGATACCCCGAATGTGATCAATGATCATTCAGATGTATTTTTGATATTTACATGTAGTACATTCAGATGTATATTTGATATTTACGTGTAGTATAACGGGCGAGATTAGAATTGCTGCAGGTACTTTGTGTACAAGCCCCAAATTTGCGAGGCGATTAAGAAGCCCATATTAATAAGAAATCAGGACCTGCTACTTTTGCGAATAGTAAGTACCATTATTTCAGTGTTAGTCGGTACCGTTGCTGGGAGATAGCGGTAATAAATTAGAAATTGTTGTGTTTTGCCTCACTTACCCTGTATCGCGCTAACTTAAAGTGTGGATATTTTCCGCGCACCTTCTCCGTCCGTCTAATGTGTCGTATACCCAATGTCTATGGTCTAACACCGACAGCCCAATATGAAAAGTTTTACTGTACACTGAAATCCAATTACAAAGTTATACCGACACTCATGCATGTGTGATGGAACTGGAAGTTGACTTGAAATTAAATGTATTCAAATTCAATATAGTTGCGAAAACATTTTGGGTCTATGCAATTTTAACTTTAAAGTCGGAAAAATATCTGGGTGTGACTGTGTGCTGGTACGATTAGTAAACAGCCTTCCCCTAGAATTTATAAAGTCACGAAATCTTTCCAATCTCTTAAAGCTCTCAGTAACAATTAAAATTGTTCATTATTTTTAATTATGGGTTTATAATAAGAATATGTCTGTTTAAATCTTACATCGTTCATAGCCATACTTCATACAAGAAATATCATAACATTGCTTCAATGCTTCAGCTCCTTATTTCATGAAAATGTGGTCATCATGGCTTTTCCACTACTACAACTACAGACTGCACTGCCATTAGTGCATTACTGTGGCTATTATTGTAGCCACTACTGTTCATGCTATTACAGCCATCACTGTAGCCACAAGAAGATCAATTTAATGATCCACCCTGTGTAATCTGTAGCAAGAGTTCACCGCATGTTAACGTACCTCACACAGATAGAGCTATAAAGAGAGCGCTGTGTCAGAGTGGACCGGATACTAACTGATCCCCCGTTATCACGTTATCTTATATTGAGAGCAGCAGATTCAATATACATTATACGGCATGACATGAGCTGAGGAGCATGCTCGAGCATCCTGGCCGACGGTCTACTGTGTTCTTGCAATTGTACTTCTCACATTTGGTCGAAATTTTAAGCATTTTTATGTGCTAGAGAAAGTGCTAGAAAAACAGCCTTCCGATTTGCTAGGATACATATTATTCTAAGAACATTGGAATTGCATTTTAACACATCAACTCATACTCTTATAGGTCGAGTGTCATTTTTTAGGATTAACGCATTACCTTTTGATTTATAACTTAGTTTACTTTTTTGCGTTTGTTCCTAGCTGCGATTAATTAATGCCAACCAAATGTTATTCCATAATTAGATAAAATGTCACTATCAAGGAGACCAATATTTTTACTTATAAATTTGAGACGCATACCAACTATTTCCGACCAAGAACTCCCCAAACAAACCAATTTAATTTGTTGATGAAAGATGGAATTTCGAAAGTCGTTCGATAATAATATAATATGTAGTCCTCTCTCACGTCTAAAAATAAATTAGCGGGTATACCGGCCTCTCTCTCTGCTGAATCCGTGTGTAATTGTCAGTTAAGTTACAACTAATTAATTGTCATTTACAACTAAGCTGTGGTTACTATGGTTACTGTGTTCCTCAGATAACACATTAACCCAGTCTCGTCGTCTCTATCAGTTTTAATAACTACCAAATAAAATACTTACTACCTTATCGGACCTTATTTGGACGGACATTACATGAACGGACATAATTATAAACGGACATTAATATGGACGATCGAAGGCATTCAAAACCATCAAAAATCCGAATTTTTTTGACGTTTTTAAAATTTCAGCAAATTATTTTAAAATCAATTTTTTATACAGTAAGTAAGAAAAGCAGTCATTAAGCAGTAAAATTAAAAATGTTAAAATATGTGTACATGATCAGTGTCTAATATCACATATCATCTTCATCAAATGGGCTTTCGTGCATGAAATAGTCCACGCTTAAAGCATCATTGATTTCTAGATTTATGGAAACCTTTTTTTATCAAACTACCCCGGTCCTGCATTTCAGTGTTAACTTTTACAAGCCATTCGGCGTGAAGTGGTTTTATCTTAGACAACTTAAGGTTAACCTTAACATCACGTGGAGCTTTCCTAGCACTGTTTCATTACCGACCCCGAGTAATATGAACTATAACAACGTCGGACAATGTCCTTGGCAACACGATTTACCGTAATATCTATATTTTTGAAAAAATTTCAACGGACTTTAACTTGGACGGACATTAATTGGACGGACATTAATTGAACAGACATTAAGATGAACGCTAGGGCCTCCAGGCCCAGCGTTCAATTAATGTCCGTCCAAATAAGGTCCGATATAATAAGGTAACCTGACAGTGTCTCCAATAAATACCAACTTTAGTCACGTTTAATAAATTAAATAAACCGGCAAAGTTGTATTTAATTAGAACCCTTATTTAAACAATTTCGTTAATTTTAGGGTAAACGCTGCTCGCAAGGACGAACGCTGCAAATGGGAATAAATTGGAAATTAATTTATTGTCCAATTACATACCCATTTTATCAAAAATAATGTGGTAAGTACAGAAAGTTGTATTTAAGTATTTAAGTTTCCGCTAATATAAATGTCCGTCAGTATTTCGTAATTTGATAACATCAATGCAATTTAAATTATTAGATTTTTAAAATTCTAAAAATTGGGTAATAAAATACAACGCCTAAGTCTTATCTTTCCCTAAAAATAAAATGGCAATATCCCTTGTCATAGATATAACTATAAGCTAAATTACAGTGAAAATAGATTCGGAAGAGCCCGTATACTACATATTTATTGAAAAGTCGCTAGATTTTAGTGTCACGCAGTGGTTGTTCCTACACATGTTTGAGTAATTATTTTGGATTTTATATTGGTTTGGTAGGTAACTGTTTCTAATGACTTAACCGCAAGTTTGTAAATTACTAACTATGCACGGTCATAACATAATATTTTTTGTTCTCCAGCGACAAGACAATAGAAATACCAATCGTGATAATATTTTACACGTTACACTTGTAGTTGTACTAAACAGTTTTATAATACTTTTGTTGAGCCTCACAATATAAATAACATT